TGAGAATCACTGGCGCGCTTTATCTTGGCTCCCAATACGTAGCGTAATCTCTCTCTCTCTCCCCCTCCCTCCTCCCCTCCCCTCTTTTCTCTTTTTTTTCCCTCCCGCGAAATATGCGCCACGCATTCGCGCTCCGCGCTTCCTGACGTCATTACCTGCGCCGCGGTTACCCTCGTCTATTTACTGCGTACTTGACGAATTGCGTGTTCCACGGCAGAATAGATAGCACGCTGCACTTTCTCCGTAGCATCGGCACGTACTTGAAGTCGAGGCGTATCGCGTGTCGCCGTTCGGAAGAGTCGCGACTGCCTTTCAATCGATCGATCTCACCGTGCGGAAGGGGGTGGGACGGAGGGGGGGGCAGAGAGAGAGAGAGAGAGAGAGAGAGAGAGAGAGAGAGAGAAAAGTACATAGACAGAGGAAGAGGGAGAAAGAGGAGTAGCGGAGGAGAAAAAGGAGGAAAAAAGGTCGTGCGTGCACGCTACACGCCTGCACGCCTATATTCACGCGCGCGCGACCGAGGAGAGCATAGCGGCGTCGCATTTCCACGAAAAGTCAGGTGACCGTGACGACGTGGTCGCTGGCGATGTTGCCACGTCCCGACGGCTGCGCGGGCGCTATCGCCCGAGTAGTAACTGTCGAAGCGTGACGACTGCGGCGGGGAGGGCGGCGCGCGGGGGAGGGGGAAGAGAGCGTTAACTGTCAGTAGTGTAGTCGGGAATTTACGAGCCCGGGACGAGCCGCGATCTCGACCTCCTCTCCTCCGTCCCGCTCGTCCCGCCTGGCCCCCATGTACGTACGCCGGGATTGAGATATTTATGCCGGATGGTGATTTTTTTTTCTTTGCGTGCGCGCTCATCAAATCGCTCAGCTGCGAAGGCATTTCCGCAACTGTATCTACAGCCGCCGAACTGGCGCAAGGCGCTATCAGTAAACGAGCGCGCGCGACGATGACCTAATTTTCTATCGAAATTAAACCCGTTATATTATTATCTTCCTTCGTTAATTATGAATTGACGAAAAAAATCCGTATCTTTTATTTGTGCCACGTGTGTTTACGGAATCTCGGGCGAAAGTTACTTTTCAGTTGCATGATCGTTTATCGCGATCGCATATAATTTCTGCGAATTATATGATATATTTTGCGAAATGAATTACTTCCCGTAACGGATAATCGAACAATTTTTAACACGGTTTTACCGGCGAGCGCGCGTGTTGACGATCTCTCGGCGATGACATACATTTATATTAAATGTTAAAAGAGCTATTAAAACGATTAGCAAGCATTACGATGCGCTCCAATGCGCCAGGGGATTATTATTTTTGCGTAATCACTCGATATACATTATTTGATGAGTTTCCATCGCAACGGCCGGTCGCTTGGTCGCAACCTTCGATCGACGTGTATATTAGAACGTATTTATGACAATGTTATCGAATAAAATTCTCTACCGAGTTAACGAAATTTGCGAGTCACGCTTTTCCAACTAACATAAGTGCGATTTTCCATTCGTTAAAACCACTTTTGCAAAGTGCGCGAACGCCCGTTACTTTCAGTTCCTCAAACAGTCTGAATTCCTTGGAGGGAAGTTAAATCCAAGTTCGAATGTACAGTCTTACTCATTAATGCCTGGACCTCAGTTTTACTAGGATTCACATTTTCACGATCTTTACTCCCACCTGTACATCGATGAGTTTCAGGCTGCAGTTCACGCAGCTTCTACACAAGTTTGCGGTAGTACCATAGACATAATATATCCAGACCGAGCGTTTATTTGACCAGTGGTAGTAGAGATTCACGTAGAAAAGGACAACTCTGTTTTGTGCTATTTCGTTCTCTCTCGTTCACATACCGCTCAATGCTCGGTCTAGATAGATTATGTCTATGGGTAGTACTTACTCTGGGAGAAGAAAAGACAGCAATCCATTTTGGGGCCCACAATTGGCAATCGAATTACTTAGATTGTTCGTAACTCTACTCTGGGAACAATTTTGACCGGTTTTTTTTTGTGGTTAAGCAACTTAACATTTCGGTTAGTGCCTCTTAAGTGAAAGTTATCTTTGCGTCACTGAATATCGACAGAACTAATTGACTAGTATCACTTAAAAATCTTGGATATAGACAGAATAGCTAATTGCGATTTTTAGTTACGCGGGGTAGAATTCGTAAAAGATTAGAGTTACGAACAATCCAAATAATTCGATTACTAATTGTGGGCCCCAAAATGGGTTGCTGTATTTTTTCCCCAGAGTACGTGCAGCCTGAAACTCAGTGATTTGTATAGATGAGAAAAATGACGGTAAAACTGCAGCGCGCGTCATCTGATCATGCAAAACTTCACAGCACGAAATTTCGTTCTTTTTATATACATAATCGCAACGATTGACGTTATTGACGCTGTAATAACTTGCAGCGTTCAATAATCTGAAAACTCGAAGCGAATAATTTAATCTAAACTTCATACCGATAAGAATAGTTGAATTTGACTTGGCTCGCATTTTATATATATCTTCGTTCGTCATCATTTTTAGATTAGAATCCAATTCAGGATTTAGATCAAGCGAAGAGTCGGAGAAAGCGCGATGCGAATCATAGACATCGTAATTACGGCAGGAAAAGTTTGAGTTCAGTTTGCGAGACCGCGGGCGACAGAAACGCAAATACGTCATTGGTTCTAAATGTCCGTACCCCTTCGCGATATTCGGACTTTCCGCTGGAATGTCTAAACGTTTCAGGCTGAAATTTACGCAGTATATTATTGTTATTACCGTTCTTGCTTTCTCTCGCATGACTGATACGACACGAGTTTGTCATTTACTTTTTCTGCGACCGGCGTATGATAATTAGCTTCTATCATCACAAAGTTCACGAACATGAGAGTTCTTGTACCCAGGCGCAACAATTACACAGAACGCTCGATAATAGACGTATTGCATTCCATTAGATATTTCTTTTTTTTACTGAAAACTTAGAAAAACTTAACAAACTAATAAAATTCATAAGGCTCTCGTGTGATAAACGCAAATTCGAAGGAATAAAGACTAAAGAACCTGAGGAATGACAGGACGTTAGCGTCTAAACAATTCTTATTTTATATTTATCGCGGAAAATATTATCTTAAAAAATGTCCTCTACTTAAAATTTGCAATTTGACTTATATTTTTTGTTGTAGTTTTTAAAAGACACTATAAGCAAGTTCTATTTAAAAGTTCTATTGAGATTCACTTAAAAACAAGCGATAACGGTTAATTTCAACGTTTTTGCCATCGTAAGGTAAAAAGTCAGTTTTTTTTATGCCTTATTTCGTCTGGCAAATTATCCGTGTCAAGGGAGAATCGTATCAGCTCTGGTGAGAAATGCCTGAAATATTCTTCAAATTTTCTGACGAGTATAAAGTTCGGTTAGGTTCGATCGGTTCAACGATTCCTCTCTATTCTTCACCTTGCATGTACACGCATTGTTTTCGTTTTTTCAATATTTATCACGTCCGTTTTTTAATATCTGTGTCCCTATTTGTCCCTATTATTATCCCTATTATTTCTTTTCCGCGTTAGTCACAAGTTTGAAGCAAATTAATCTGGCTTTACATTTGGATTGTCATTGTAATGTGCAAATCAGTTCATATGTCAAAATAAATTTCGAGTTCACCGTAAAGAAACAAATTATAAGACTGATGATGCAAGTAAAATGTGAAATTTGAAATTATGATACGTCCCGACGATCGCGCAGTATGAATTAGTAGAAGGAATGAGACGACCGATACGAAAATTCTATTATTTCGTAGCATAGAAAGCAACCGCACGAGACCCGGGCAGAATCAGATGAAACTAGTTCGGTCCCGCGGCACTTTTTTTCGAAGAAAGGCCTTCGCTATGTGCCAATCTTGTTTAATCGACAAGCAAGATTATCGAACAAAACGATGAGGCGACGGCGGCGAACAATCCAGATTGAAAGTAACGGGAGATTATCGATAGCAAAGTGAATTATCGCGCGGCGCTTCGAAGGCAATAAATACAAATGGCGCCAGGAGTCGTAGGATCCGGAAGAACACGCCTCTGTAAACCAAAAGAGAGAGAGAGAGAGAGAGAGAGAGAAAAAAAAAAGTATCTTTCCTTCGCCAATTGAACCAGAACTCTAACAGTACTCGCTCGCCGCGCGATCCGTTAAATAAGTAAAACAGAGGATCTTGAGGAGGAAGTGACGAATGCGTTTCGCGGCGACTCGTCGACCCGAGTATCAGCGCGGCCGTCCCCTGGACGATGACTAAGCCCTGTTTTTTTCGTCTTTCAGAAGTTCAGAGGATCATGGATCCGGCGGCGGTAGCGGGGGAGGAGGCGGCGGAACAGGCGGCGTTTCCGGTAGCGGCGGCGGTGGCGGGAGCACCGGTGCCGGGGTCGGCGGCGGCGGCGGCGGTGGCGGCGAGCGGGGAGACAGGGGAGGCGAGAATTTCGACTCACGTGGTTCCCACGGCAGCTTCTACGGTAGCGAGAGGAGCAACCGAGTGGTTGGCACCGGGAGCGGCGTCGGCGTCGGCGTCGGCGGCGGCGGCGGCGGCGGCAGCGGCGGCAACGGCGGCGGCGGCAACGGCGTCGGCGGCGGCGGCGGCGGCGGCGGCGTCGGCGGCGTCGGCGGTCATTCGGCGGACCCGTCGGCGGGCGACCCTGGCGGCTACATATCCCGCAGCCGTCCACCACCTTCGAGCTCCTACCACGTGACATCGAGCAGGGCGAGGGATCGGCTATACCCGAGGACCGGCCCGTACGTCTCTGGGCCGCCGCCCCCGCCCCACTTAGACCGTCATCGTGGAAGTCTGCCGCCGTCGTCCTGGCCGACGTATGAGTCGACGAGTTCGAGGTACGGCGGCGCACCGCCGCCACCCTCGCCCGCCACCAATGACGCCTACCAAGACGAGCAAGGTAATTCGTCAGTCATTCCCGACCCAACGGAACACGTTTCGCCAGTTCTTGCAACGCGATACAGACTGATTCTGTTCGTTGCCTGTTTCAGTCGGACCATTGTCGAATCGTTAAGAAACTTGAATGAGAATGTCAAAGATAGAAATAAACGGTCCCGTTGAATGTACGAAAGTTCAGTTGCTGTAAACGTTCATAATGACAAAGTTCGATTTGTATGAAGGAAAGCAGCAGACATTGCGTTCCTTTCTTACATTCGCCGTGTATTCGATTTTTATCATTCTCTGTTCTCCTGCAGGTGGTGGAGGAGGTAGCGGTAGCACCGGTGCTCTGCGACAGCACAAGAAGCAGCGCAGAAAATCGCGCAGTGGGAGCAGCTCGCCGAGCGGCAGCAGTCGTTCCGGAAGTAGCAGCAGCAGCCGAAGCGGTAGCTCCGGCGGCAGCTCTTCCGGGGGCAGCACGTCGCCCGGTAGCTCGCCGCATCGTACGAGCAACGTAGCCGTCACGGAGGATCGCAGACCGTTGGCCATCTGCGTCAGGAATTTGCCAGCCCGCAGCAGCGACACTTCCCTCAAGGATGGCCTTTTCCACGAGTACAAGAAGCACGGCAAGGTGACGTGGGTGAAGGTCGTCGGTGCGGCCGGCGACAGATATGCCCTAGTCTGTTTTAAGAAACCCGAGGACGTGGAGAAAGCTCTCGAGGTTTCGCACGATAAGCAGTTCTTTGGATGCAAAATTGACGTGGCCCCTTACCAAGGGTACGATGTGGAAGATAACGAGTTCAGGCCGTACGAGGCAGAGCTAGATGAGTACCATCCGAAAGCAACAAGGACATTGTTCATTGGGAACCTCGAGAAGGACGTTACCGCGTCCGAGCTCAGGAAGCATTTTGAACTGTTCGGCGAAATAATAGTGAGTTGCAATTTGTTCGGAGGAACCGATTTATGATAACTTTATTGATACCGAAATAGAAACGTTGAAAGTAGATAAGTCAAATTGTATCTGAACAAGACTTTAAAATGCCAAATAAAAGCAATGTCTAGGTCTAATAAACGTAAAAACCAATTAATTACATCTCGTTACGTTTCCTTGCAGGAAATTGATATTAAAAAACAAGGCGCCGTGTCGAGTTATGCTTTCTGCCAATATTCGGATATCGGTAGTGTTGTTAAAGCGATGAGGTCGATGGATGGTGAACATCTGGGTGCTAATCGAATCAAACTTGGATTCGGGAAGTCTATGCCCACATCCTGCGTCTGGGTTGATGGTATTGGAGGTGGGTATTTTATATACATATTACATTGAAACATACGCTTTTATAAGGTCACGGTTTCTTAAAATAACGATACGCCAGTAGTTTCATTTCATTAAAAATTACACCAGATAATATTAAAATTTGCAAAAACGAAATCTCACGGAAGAAAGACTCGGTACAATACTAAGGCCGACATTTATAGTCGGATCTTATATTCAAGACTGTCTTGAATTTATCTAAAGATGCTGTACGGAACATTTCATTGGCTACGGAGTGTCTAGAGATGATCTTGAGAGTCTTGAATATAAGATCTGACTATGAATATGGCCTATGAATGTTAAATCATTAAATTATCATTAAATGCGTCCTTCTTTGTTTTAGATTGTATGTCCGAGAAATACTTAAACATGCAATTCCATCAATTTGGACCGATAACTCAGGTAGTGGTAGATCGTGAGCGTGGCCATGCTCTGGTCTTTTTTGAGCAAATAAGCTGCGCTCAAGCTGCCGTAAAAGAGATGCGGGGAGTTGCGCTTCGTGGCCGCCGTTTACAGGTCGATTTTGCCTCAAGGGAATGCCAAGAGACGTTTTATGAACATCTCGAGCGTCAAGGAAATGCTAGCGAAAAGCCTTGGGACTCGAGGCCTTCGCCAGCGTCGTCATTTGACGTGACGTATGTGTACTTTCTTTATGAATCGATATTTTTTTAATAGCTAAAGAACATCTAATGATAAAATAAGAAATTTTTTAATATGTATATTTGACACTTAATAATCTTTATTCAAAACAATTTCCAATTTTAGCTTTGTTAGATTATTGATAGTTTGTTAACGTTAGACGCATATTTACATATAAGTTCAGGAGTCAGAAATAAGGATTTAAAAAGAGTGCATTTGTGATTCAAAGGATTCCTTCTAGGCGGGAGCGTAGTAGCTTCGACTCGACAGTGTCGGTGTCGAGTTCGAGCAACAGATTCACACGTTACGATACGCCCCCGCGATCGAGAACGGCGAATTACTCACGGACGTCCGGAGGTAGTACGCCTGGTGCGAGTCCAGCCCATTCGACGGCGATGTCGCGAAGTAGTAGACGATCCTACCAGGATTCCTACTACGACGCTGATTACGGTGAACCAACGTCGCGACGGTTTCGCAGCTACGACGAGTTCAGTCAAGGCAGCGGCGCGAGTCACGACGATTATCAAAGCAGCGTTCTCAGCGACGGCAAGCTCAACGACGAAGATTGCCCGCCACCATCGCGGCGTCACACGGTACAAAGCGTCGTTACGAGCGTCGATCCACCTGCACCACCGCCACCATTGTTACCTCCGCCCGACATTCGACACCTCCAAAAAGAGCGCGTCCACTTGCTAGAGCAACTCGAGGAATGTCACAGTAGCGGCGACGAGGTCGGCTTTGTGCCGAAGAAACGCGCGAAACTCGACAGCTCGTCGACAACAATACTGTGCGAAGACGACGAGCCGGAAATCGCGTCGTTACTCGTTACCTCGCACTCTAGTAGAAAAGGCATGGACTTTAGACGCGTTAGTGATAGCAAAGTGGTGGTGCATCATAGCACGAGGAGAGGTAGTTGTGAGGGCAGGGGTCCTGGACCTTGTAAACGTCGTCGGGATGCCACTAGCAGGTGAGTTATGACTTAAAAAAAAGGTACAAAAGCAACATTTAAAGATTATCGAAATTCGAAATTAAATTAACAATATTTTTCTAGGCATCACGAACATCACGATGGATCTCGACCAGGTACTCCTCTTGTTGACGAGCGACCGGAGAATTTGGTACCTAGCGAGCCGAGACGATTTAGAGAGAGGAGTCACGAAGGTCCATTATCGTTGCCTCTGCCAAGGTTTGCGGCACAAATGTTGAATAACAACAATAACACAAGCAGTAGTAATAACAACAATGGCAGCAGCACTCGATCGAGCAGTGCCAGTCTCGCCAAAGTTGCTAGTCCGCCATGTACCAGCTTGTCTACTGCGCCCAGTCCTCGTGCCGCCCCGCAACCACCGGCTTCGCCGCCTCCCAGGCATGCCAGCTCGAGCCCAACCAGTTCCGACAGCGAGACAGCGCCGCAGTCCCCTAGTCTGGAGGAGAGGATACGCTCTCTGGATGAAAAGTACGAAAAGTGGTCCGGTTCGAGAGCGTTGAGTGCTGCTGGCGGTGAAGCACTGGCAAAACTCGATGCCAGCGCTTCAGAAAGATTCCGATTTCGGCATAAACTGCTCGATATGGATCTCCACGAGGTGCAACCTTCCGACATCGTCAAGTCGGTTCTCGCGAAAAGAAGCGTGTTCGATGAGGACTCGAAGCGTTTGGAAAACTTTAGTGAAAAGTACGAACCGCGGGAATTTACTGGTGTTATTGGCGTTAGTTCTATGATCGGGAGTACCGCCGGTCTCACCGCTAGTGGTGGCTGTACCAGCAAAGTTTGTCTGCAGTATCCGTTTCCTAGTCATCCGCCGGTACAGCCGACCAGCGGTACTTCGGTTAGTCAAGTCGGCATTAACACGTCATTGTCCGCGAGTTTGACCGCGACGACGACCTCGATGGCCTCGTCGATGCTGAAGACCGATCCGCGGATTGTGCAACATAACTGTATACATCCGACGCCGGCTACGCCGATTACACCCGGTACTTCTATTAAGACAGTTAGTCCTGAATTACCACCGGTTTCTCTACCGATCGGTCTCGTTAGTGGAACGGCGGCCAATAGTGGCAACAGTAGTGGTTTAGCGTCAGCCAGTAGTCTTCTAAGCAGCAGTGGTAGCATAGGTAGCATTCACACCCTTGGAGCCTCGACACATCGAGGATTGAGCATCCCCGCGTCTACCGCGTCGCCAACGGTGACCGCGGCGTCGACAGATGCCTTCTCGACTGCAGTAACAACAGCGGTGACTGTTACGACAACCCCGTCAACAGTAGCAGCAACAACGACGATGTCCGTAACAGGCGCGATATCTTCCATGACTACTACCAGTTCGATAGCTCCACCGTCTTCCATAACATCCTCATCCAATTCTTCCTCTTCATCGTCATTATCCACATCTTCCACAGATTTGACTCGTTCTCGTTTGAAGAAGGAAACGAGCGGCAGCAGTCGAGAGAGTAGAGATTCTCGCGATGGAAAGGACAGCAGGGAGTCGAAACATAGTAGTAAAGGGAAAGACTGTCAAAGAAGATCACGAAAGGAAGAAACCGACGTTGAAAGAACTCGCAAAGAGAGGGATGAAAGAGAAAATCCAAACGTTATGAATGACATCGGCAACACGGATAATCATAATAGGGACTTTAAGGAAAATAAAGAACTGAGGTATGAGCGGAAAGAACGAGAGGAGAAAGAAAGGAGGGACAAAGAAGATCGTGATAGGCAAGAGCGAAGGGATAAGGAAGATCGTGACCGACAAGAGAAAAAAGAAAGGGAGGAACGCGAGAGGCGCGAAAAGGACGAGGAGAGACGAGAAAAAGAAAGACAAGACAAGGAACGACTGGAGAAAGATAGAAGAGAACGCGAAGAAAGAGAACGAGAAAGGAAAGAAAGGGAGGAAAACGAACTTAAAGAAAAGGAGAGACGAGAGAAGGAACGAATCGAACGAGAGAGGAGAGAACGAGAAGAGAAAGAGCGACAGGAACGGAGGGAACGCGAGGAACGTGAAAGGAGAGAGCGTGAAGAACGCGAAAGAAAAGAACGGGAAATTCGTTTGGAACGTGAAAAGCAAGAAAAGGAGCGTCTTAAAAGGGAAAGGGAGGAACAAGAGAGAAGAGAGAAAGAAGAACGAGACAGATTGGAACGAGAAAGGAGGAGAGAAGAGAAGGAACGGCTCGAACGAGAAAGAAAGCGAGAGAGAGAAGAGAAGGAGAGATTGGAACGTGAACGGCGGAAAGAGAAGGAAGAACGGGAAAAGATGGAGAAAGAAAAACGCGAAAAAGAGGAACGGGAGAGACTTGAGAAACTTGAAAGGGAAAAGCATGAAAGGGAGAAGCGTCGGGAACGCGAAGATCAAGAGAGGCGGGATAAAGAGAAGACTGAGCGCGAGAAGAGGAGAGACCGCGAAGAAAAGGACAAAGAGAAGAGAGAACGTGACGAAAGCAGACGGCAGTCGACTGAAAATCATCTACATCCGTCTGTAACGCAATCTCAGAGTCAAATCGCTCCGGCACCGGTGCCGATCAAGCGCAGGTGTTCGTCGCAGGATTGTCCTACAGACGAGGACGCTAAACGCGTTAAACTTTCGGATCATCGGCGAGACAGCAAAGACCGGTCTAGACAAAACAGGAGATCCGAAGATCGCAAGCATCGTAATGATTCGCATCGTTCTAGTCGAGAGAGTAGGGAGAGTCGTGACAGTAAGGAAAGCGGTAGTGCGACGCAGGATAGCAGGGATGGGGCGCACGGAGAGTCGACACGGGAAAACAACTCGAGGGACAGCGGAAACAAGGAGAAACAGAAGAGCAAGAGAAATCGATCGGAGAAGGAGTCGAGGGAGCGTAGCCCGAGAGTCTCGCACGAATCCGACAAAGAATTTCTGTCAAGATTGGAACTATCCAAGAGAAACGACTCGAGTCCATCGACCGAGCAATCTACCGTGGGAACAAATCACAGAGACGCGCAACATCAGCAACAGTCTACAGTGAATTCTCATAGCGACGTAGACGATGGTCCTCTTTCTACTCACGAAATACAAGTGACGAGGAATCCATCGGCCACAGATACAGACAGCGACGAGCCTAAGAAGCATTCGATTTTTGACATTGTCGATGACGAACCTGCTTACATCAGCATGTATGACAAAGTGAAAGCCCGTTCGACGAAGAACATGCAAAAGTTAGAAGAAGAAAAACGTCAAGTACGTCTAAAGGATAAGTTTTCGCAACTGAAGCAAAGTCGTGCCAGGCGAGAGGAGAAGAAACAGAGCACATCGTGGGACGGAGATTCAGTCAGCAGCAAAGCTCTGACTGAGGACGAGGCTACTTCCGAGTCGGACTCGACGAGAACCAAGTCCCTGTCGAGGAAGGGCTCGCGATCTCGCATTCATTCGGACACGAGCGAGGAGGAGGAACCGTTCAACAACAAGGTCCGGAAGTCTGTGAAGACGGAGAGATTCCTCGAAAGTGATGTCGATCTCGGCTTTGCTGACACTGAGGAAAAGCAGAATCCACTGGAAGTTTCGAACGCTATTGTTAACAGCGTGCACACGAGTATCAAGGAGGAGCCTCGTACGTCCGACGAAGACGAGCGAGTTGCTGTTGGTTTCCGTACGAATCATCCTACGATAGTGGTAAATAATCACGAGAGAGATTCGCGAAAGAAGTCGCACAAGAAGAAACAGAAACGTCAGAAGAACAGCATTTCGAGCGAAGATTTGAAGGTCGAACCGAATGTGGAGCATAAGAATAAAGTTGATGTCATCACGTCGAATGCAGACTGCCGGCCGAATCACGGCACGGAATTGACTTCTGTCACCGCCGCTACGGCCATTGTCACGACAGCGTTGGAGAACGCGGAGGAAAGAATGCGGGCCGATAAGAAGCAACGTAGTAAAAAGGAGAAGAAACGCGATCGAAATGGAGAAGACAAAGCCAAAGCGAGACGAAAGAGGCTTAATAGACAAGAGGCGAGAGATTCTCAACGTATGGAAGACATCTTCGGCCCGCTCTCGGACGACGTTGACGATGGTCCGCCTAACACGTTCTTCAACAGATTTGGTAATATGACATCGGAGAACAGTGCTTACGCCTCGGACAGCGACGGTGGTCGTAGCTCGCTTGACATGGACAGAGTGAGACGAAAGACGGAAAAGAAACGGCGTCATCAGCCGGAGGCTGACGAGAACAGCGTCGATCTCGCCGAAGCTGGGCGAGAGATCGAGGCGAAACTCCTGGGTATACCGAACTCTCCGAAGGCCGTCCCCGCGTGCACGACGGAACCCAATGAGCACGATGTCTTTCGATTCACAGACGATAATGACAGCGTCGAGCCCACCCCTTCGACAGTGCCGGAGAAGGTCAAGGAGAAAAAGAAAAAACGGAAGAAGTCGAAAGAGGAACGCGGCCGAAAGGATTACCATCACCATCACCATCATCATCACCATCATCACGAGAAAAGCGGCGAATTACCTTATTTGGGTGCCGAACCTAGTCCACCAAGAGCAAGCAGTCCATTAGTATCTAAGACAGTATCACCCAGCTTGCCCACGTCTAGAGAAACACTGTTAAGTCCTATACCTAAAGTAACCACCAACGTATCGACCGTTACGTCGATCACTCCACCAGTCGTGACCGGTAGCATACAGACTGCCAAGTCGGAGAAGAAGAAGGACAAGCTCATACCCGGCTTTGGAATAGAAATGGACGAGATGATCCACGAAAACGCCGTGAAAAGTATCTCAGAGCCGGATGAAAGGGATAACAATTGTCAATCTCGAAGCGGTAGGGAGGAACCGGAAGTACCCGTATCGACAACACCACCTGCTCAAAGCGAGGACAAACCGCGAGTGGCAATCTCGCAGGAGGAAACAGAGGATGCCGTCGCTGCGTTGCTCGAAGAAACGTTCGGCGCCTCGACGGAGGACTTCTCTTATGAGGGCGAGGAGGAGGAAGCGGAAGCTGACGGGGTTGCCGGGGCACCGACTGAAGCGCCTCAAGAGGACGTCGAGGAGATGCAGCAAGCGGTCGAGAGTCTGAACGCGTCGACGGGAGAAGGTGATGCGGACCTGAAACCGGATACACCGCAGAGCGAGCACGATCTCCAAATTGACACGGATACGGAGGAAGATCCGAATTACGAGACGGTCGATCTCACGCAGCCGCCAAAGACGCCGGATATACCGTCGTTCTACAAGTCTCCCACGAAGACATTGCCTATGACGTCTGTCTTGGGCGCTACGCCCGAAAAGTCGGTTGAAGTGCGATTGCCATCCGCAGTTACGAAACCACAGAGTCCACCTTCCGTGATCGCTCATTCTTGGAGTTTGAACGAGCACAACAACTCGCGGGAACCCGTCAAGTCCCATCAATTGAAAACTAACGAGTCAGACGCTGATGTCGCGAGTCCAGAGAGAACAGCGCAAGTACAAAGAACATCCGCATCGCCGCCACCACCTCAGTATAAACAACCTATGCTGGTACCTTGTAGCGTACCGATCACAAGCGAAATACCGAAATCGCTCGCCGTCCCGAGTTCGCGACCATCGCCGATGCAACCTCTGTATCAAAGGCTTCCTGTGTCTCCACAGTCCCAAATGGTACCGATGCGTCAAGCTTCTCCCAAAATGCAAAACGTCACAACAGTTTCCTGCTCATCCTCTTCGAACACAACACCGTTGCCGTCATTGCTTTCAAGAGTTCCATCTTTGGTACCGTCTCAGCCATCACCGCGCGTCTCTCAGCCGCTTTCGCCTAACGGACAATGGTCACGGAATCCGACGTTGAGTCCGCACGTGCCGAACGTAGGGAAGAGAAAACCGTCGCCGCCACCTACCAAAATCGCGGTATGCGTGCCCATTCCTGCCCACAAACCGGAAACACCGGTTCAGCAAATTTATTCGACCGCGGCGACCCAACAGCCTGTAATACAGCATGCCTCGGGAATGCTGGCGCCCGCACCCAGCTATCCACGCGGCGGTTTACCGCCGTTAACTCTAAGCATCCCGCGGCCTTACATGCCGGTACCACCGTTGGCCTCTGGCATACAAGTCAAGAGTTCGCGCGATGCCTCCCTGGGTGGCAAATCCGTAATCGAGACGTTACTTCCCGTAAATCCGAACGAACCGACTCAGAGACTGGACGAACCGAAATTATCACCAACTATTATACCGGAGCCAACTAACAAAGCGTCCACCTCTCCTAAGGTTCCCTCGCCGAATCAGCCGCCCACATTTATACCGGAAACGGCGAAGATTGAGATCAACGCTAGCACATCCAGCCCAGTGTTCGGCAAACCTGCTTACGCGACGGACAATTACACGATGTCATCTAGAACGCAGAAGCAAATTTCCGTGTCCCTCACAACAGACAGCAATCTACTGTCGCCAAGACAGAAACAGGAGGTGTCGAATCTTCAACTTCTCACCACGCATGTACCTCGCTCTTCTACGCCCAGTCCGGTGATCGTGGCGCACGGTCAGCCTCACCTACTTCACAAGTCCGTGCACCCTCTAGGCCCACCGACTGCTTCTTCTCCAAATCAGCCGTTGATCAAGACCGTCGTACCTATAGTCCCTCAACAAATAACACCGAACGCAGCACCACCGGTGCCCAGTGACAAATGCGTCATCCCACAAACGCCCGTTGTTTGCCAGAGGCAGTCGCCGGTCTCTCAAAGTCAAGTAGTCAAGTCTCACATACCTTTGGTGTCTACGGTGTCACAGACGATTATAACCAGGGTGGTACCATCCACCGTATCGTCCGTGTCAACTCCACCGATGAACGAGCAATCCACGCCGGAATGTTTAGAGCCACGTATAATCCAGGGACAACAATTGGAATTGGATGCTGAGGCGCAGATTAGCCAGACAGCTCAACCGATGCAACTTACGCCGCCTATACAGCCTACGCAGCCGATTGTTGATATAAAGAAAGAACCGACCGACATTGAACAGGAAGATACGATAGACGAAGCTGCGTATAACGTAGCCGAATCTGAGAAATCTTTGAATCCGCTGTGCATAAAAGAAGAAAATGTGAAAGAGGAGAAGCCAGAAGCGATTAAAACGGAGATTGCGCCCTGCCTTCCTAAGGCCGAACCTATAGATACGATCGTACCGAAACTCGAGACGGAAACTCCTATAAAACTGGAGTCTGAGAATGAAGTTAAAGAGGAAGAAACTGGAAAGGAAACTGACGAGGTGGAATTAGATGAAGAGCCGGTAGAGGATCCGTTGAAAGAGCCGAACACGGATCCTCTCGCCATCGATCCCAAGGAGGATCCGATCGACAGTAAGGAGGACAGCGATTACTGGTCCGCGAAGGAGGTGAACATCGAAAGCGTCATAAAGAAGGTCGACGCTCTGTGCGACGGCGAAGGCAACGACGGCGATGACGAAGCGCAACAGGGCAACGAGAGCGTAAATAGCGATTCTCACGATGCCAGCAAGAACGAGTCGGATTGGTTCGACACCGAGTCGACGGAGGGCGAGAGTAAGAAGAACTTTATCTCGGCTGACGATCACGACGAAAGTGTGGAAACGTGCGAGAACGAGTGTACGAGGAGCCGTCGTGGCAGAACGAAGAGCAGACGCGGCAGTCGCGGCGGAGTTACCACCAGACGAGGTAGAAATGCAAGTACTGTTGCTCACCGGCGAGGTGGTAGAAGTCCGAGAGGTAGCAAACACCACGTTGAAAAGAACAAATTGCCAGCTGATGTTTATGAATTCCACGATGACAGCGAAGAGGACAACGCAGGTCGTCCGCGACTTATTCTCACTATTAAATCTCCCGGACCAAATGTAACGGGACCGAATGCGCAGCCAGCGACACCCGTGGCCGCGGTCAAGGAGGTGCCGCCGGAGGAGTTCGTTTCTCCGACCACCAATACAAGGAAATCCCGAAGATTGGCGGAAAGAGATGGCAGCCGTAACACGATCGACGACGTTATCGAGGATGTCGTCCGCGGGTCACCTACGAATAAAGGAATGATCGGTAACGCTGGGAATGTGCATGCTACTAGGCGAAGCACCAGGCATAATAATGTTCCGCGTAATACAGCACAGCAATCAATCGCTCCACTGACGGAACTTCGCAAGTCACCGAGGGGTAGTCGCAAAGCAACGAGGCGAACTTCAGAGAACAATGACGACAGCGGAGAAGAGAAAGTGAAAGAGGTGACAGTGACGCCACCGGAGACTACGATCAAGGAAGAGCCGAAACTGGAGCCGGAAAGCCCGAAAGCGGAGGAACCAGCAGCTCACACTGTAACACCAACGCCGCTGAAGTCGCACGAGCCGATGACGTTAATCGATCCAGTCACAGGAATGCTGATACCCATGAGAGAATCCGAGGAGGGCCAGTACATCCCGGTGTCCACGTCGTCTGGTCAGACGCAGGCTGCCAACAGAGCACTCGGCGAAGCTCGGAGCAGCGGATTGCCCAGCGCGAGTCCGACGAACGAAGCTCCACGAGCGAAACCCGTTGCCGAGAGCTCGGTCTTAGTACCAGCAGAGCAGAAGAAGGAAGCCGTTATAGAGCACGCGTCTTGCCAGCCGGCACCGACCCAGCAAATCCAACCGCAAACTAGCGTGATCACGAAACCACAATCCCCGGCGGTACAAGTCACCTCCTCCATCTCCGTTGCACAATCCTCGACGACATGCACGACCATCGTGACTACCGTGACCGCGACGACTGTACCGACCACGACGGCGCAACCGATAGCCACCTCTCCTTCGCAAACGAAGCCTACGAGCCTCAAGGCGCACGTGCTGAACGCCAGCAAGCTAGTGACGTCGACTCAACAGCAGGTTATCACGAAACCTGTAACTCCGAGTTTGCCCAACCAAACGATAGTACAGAACATCGTCAAGCCACCCGCGCAAGCGATACAGGGTCTCAATCTGCAAATACCACCCGGCAGAGTTGTGTCGCCCAGCTTGAGCCCGCGCGCGAAACAGGCGGCGCCGCTGACCCCGACGAATGGAAAGCAAGGCCAACCCATGTCTCCCGTGCTCAACAATACTGGCACACCGCCTAATCCCAAGCAGCACCTTCTTCAAGCGGCGAAGCAACAAACATCGATAGTGACAAACACGATAGTGAACATGTCACAAAAACTGCCACTAAACATACATCCTGCCAGTGTAAACGTTAGTACTCCGACACCAAGAATCCATCAGCCAGTCTCGCAGCCTACTACTCTGAAGGGTATCAATGGACAGCCTCATCCGCTCAATCCGAAGGCGCACTTGTTGCAAGCTGTGGTTCCACCGATCGGGACAGTAGCGAGCTCACCCACGCAACCGCATCTCGTCAATCCGCAGCAGATTTCGACTGTCGTGAACAGCGTCCGACCACCGGGACCGAAAGCTCCGGTAAGCTTTTGTAGCCAAGAAAATGTTTATTTTAAACTGGAAAGAGCGACTGATCAACATTTGGAAATTTATTGTAGACTACCGGGCCGATGGAGCCACAAAACGTGGAGGTGCCAATGTCTGGTTGTATCATGGTGCCGACTGCGAGTCCACAAAGCCGCACCGTACCGATACCAACGTACGAGGCTCCATTGGTAAGCATTGTTGTGCGTGCGTTTTTAAAAATCTTGCACTTGAGTGAGATGAAGTAATAAGATCCAGAAATACGTTAAAGCGGCGTTAAAACTAACTCCGTTTGGTTTCGGTTAGCATGGAAGTACGAGTGCTACTCCACCAGGGGGTCATTATGGTCTTGTCCCCCCGCATCGTCCCCAGAGCCCTCCATTGCCTCCACCTGCCCATCATCACGCTAATACTTCACAGGTACTTACTTTCTAATATTCTTTTGATGAAACGCTCATGCGACTCGAGCAAGATCAAGCGAGAGCAAGGCTTTCTTATGTCGATCATAATTTCGACAATAATTGCATGAAATTTACAAAACTCTTGCATAATTTATTAATAGTATCAACGTGTAAAAATTACGATTTGGGTGTAAATAATCACGGAAATAATTCAATTTCAGAGTGAAGTCGTCAACCATTACGGAGGACTGGCTCGTGACCACTACTTGCATTCTCCGATGTTCCAGTATCAATATCTCCGCGCTCAACAAGAAGCGTTAACGGCACCTCGCATAACTTACCACATTCCAGGAACAAGATCTCCGCACTTACCTCTGGACCCGAAACTCGAGCCCGGCATAGAGGACGGTCACAGTCCTCCTATGGAATTGAGACGGGGCACGAGAACGCCCCAGGAACGCACTACCGACAGCCCGCAAATTGCTCAAGTCTACATGTTACACGGGGCAATGAGACCGTTACCACCGCCTCCATCGCAGTACAACACGGGAAGTAATCCATCGTTGTCCGGCGCACCGGCTGGCGCTAGAGCGAATTTCTACGAACCACCGCCCGCTCATTTGCATTCTCAATATCCCATTGCTGCCAGCGAGGCTCCGCCTGACATCGGTAGAGCCCCTTCGCCGGACAGATGTAGGAAACATCAAGTCGCCACCCCACCGCCGCTTTACGCGGGGTCTCAGGTGCCATCGCAAGCGGACTCGTTTCAGATGCTACTCCAACGTCATCCGGTTATGTGGCAAGGTTTATTAGCTCTCAAGAACGATCAGGCAGCGGTGCAGATGCACTTTGTTTTTGGCAATCCCAGAGTGGCCAGAGATAGTCTGCCGTGTAACAGCGACGGCTCTACACCGCCGTTGAGAATAGCGCAGAGGATGAGATTGGAGCAAACCCAAGTCGAGGGTGTGGCAAGAAAGATGCAAGTACGTATCGCAATCTCTCGGTACTAAAACTACAATGTTGATATCAATTCGAAATTTATACGTGTTTAGAAACAATTATTGCATTTATATTTTAAAATTTTATATAAACTTTTAATGAAACCTAGAAGATATGCTGCATACGCTGCATGTAAATGAATTTTAAACGAGGTAAACTCTTTCTATAATATGTCATTCGATGTCCTTTAGACTGAAGACGAACACTGTATGTTGTTGGCACTACCTTGTGGCCGTGACGAAGAGGACGTAATGCGACAAAGCAAAAATCTGCAAACAGGATTTATCATGTATCTTCAACAAAAGCAAGCCGCTGGTATCGTAAACATTGCTGCACCAGGATCGCAACAGGTATGAAAATTGTTATCATGCGGTATGCAAGATTCAGATCTTCCGTCAAGTTTACAACATCAGTTATATCTTCGGTTCTAGTGCCTTACTTACCCTCTCGGTTAATGATTAAATTGGAATGTTACCAATCGTCTCGGTATTTTCAGGCGGCGTATGTAGTTCACATTTTCCCGTCTTGTAACTTCGCGCGCGAAACTTTGGCAAGAATCGCACCGGACCTGCATCACCGCGTCGCAAAAATCGCTCACTTACTAATCGTCATCGCCACGGTTTGAGGCCGATCAGCGACCTACTGGATTATGATCTGTTCATGTCTCTCGCCTTCGCGCACCGCAGGACGCTTCGCATGTGGTATGAAACCTGGAGTGTCCGTCTGACAGTAGTTGTGCGACAAAAGGAGAGGGAGAAAGAGAGAGAGATGCATTCAAGAGGAAGGAAGCTCCTTGCACGGAGTTGTATCAGTGACAATCAAACGGAAACCGGCGGTAAGCCGATCTTTAGATCGTAAGGCCTAAAGAGCGAGGCGCGAGGTTGTGCAGTGAAGCGAGGTTAGCACCTGGTTGCTATGCCGTGCGTGCCTCCCTTCGATGAATTTCGCGCGGGCAAGCTCGTTTCGTTCTCTCTCGTCCCCTTTTTTCTTTCTCCTTCTTTCTCGCGGACGGCTTGTGACTCGCGTCAATCATTGACAACGTTTGTGGGATCGACCGACGTCACTCTTGGTCTTTCTGACAAGCGGGTCAGGCACAACCCCGGCCCTCAAGACAAGACCTTCGATTCGTCACGCGACGCGACGCGACGCGACGCTCGCTTACTTACGCTCGTCCTCCCCATAGAGGGAACAATAAATAATCCATTGCTCTAGATGGACAAGTGGACTGCGAAGCATAATAACGAATAGGAGAACCTTAACGTACACTCGTCAACTATTACACATGAGTTATTTTAAGCGAGGTCTAGACGTTAATGATAAATTGTGTACACATTATATTAAGTGAGCCACCGAGGGCATAACTACTGTGATTTTAAGTATTTAACGATAACATAACGATAACATTGCGTATAAGGAAGAAGAGGGGAAGGTGACAAAAAGTAAAAAAAAAAGCATATTAGGGGATGCCCGACTAATGGTCCGCGCGGTATGTGATGTGTTTTTGTATAATATTGCTCTATATATAAATAACTATGTATTATATTGCTGTAACTGATAGTTTGCTGCTGCCCGTTGCTGCTGCTGCCGCCGTCGGTCGTGTCGTCGAAGTAGAATGTAAATTACAATGTTAGATATCTAGTACACACACATACAAGCACACGTGCACACACATACACGCACGCACACACGTACATACACACACAAACACAGTGAATGACAAGAAAAGTTGGGCTACCCCGAGTAGGATTTCCGATCTATTCGTGGATCTATCCATTTGCGAATACATAGTGTATCATAATTACCCGGAGCAGGATGCGAGAATTTGTGAATTATTATTATTATTACTACTCTTAGCGTACTCTTAGCGTCTCATACGTCTTACGAAAGGATTTTTAACATTACTACTTATTCTTTATCATTATGATTATTATGAGTACTATTAATATTATCACCAGTGTTTTCAGTGTTGCCAGGGTCAGTACAATTCTAACACACACACACACACACACACACACACAACGCATACACGTAGGCACGCAAAGTGAGAGAGATGAAACACTTGGTACACCGCAAGTGAAATAAATTAGACGGTGACTCAATCGTGACAGAATCGTGTCTCGTTTAATTTCTTTCAATATGGTGGCTCTGGTAATACTGATCATCGCCCGTTCTTATTACTGTTATTATTATTATTATTAATATTATTACAAGTACTATTACCACTGCTATTACTATTATTACTACTATACTATTACCACTACTCTACTACTTACTATTACTATTACTATTCTATCACTACTATTACCGCTGCTATTAATTATTATTAACGTTATTACAGCAGGCTAGCTAGGGCATACCAATCTGCACATTTAAGGACGATTGGGGCTTATTTGTCATACTGAGTGAAATAGTATGACCGATCTCATTGACCATTGACGCCGCCCCATGTCACACACTTCCATCCTACGAGAGGTAGATATACCGAAGCGGAACGAACAACAAACGAGCAGCAAGTGCGCGTGACACGCGACTGGTTTGGCGCGTCCACTCGCCCTCCCTGCTCGCTTGTTTCATTGTTCGTTTGCACGTGCAGTGTACACCTATCTTTACACCCCCATCCCTCGATTCCGTCGTACGACGACTCATAGACTCTTTAGCATTCGTGTCCGAGATAATAAATGCGCTTATGTGTATAGACCAGAGATTACACTATATCACACCAAGCCGTCAAAAAAAACATTATAAGTAAATTAAGGAACTTATATCTATTTACGATATTATGCTGCTGCGCGTAGGGCGCATGCCTCTAGAGAGTAATCTTCATGCAAAAGTATCAGGGATGGACAAAACGCGCATCCCGTTCGTTCCAAGTCTAGTTGCGAGGGCGCTTAATAACTCGCAAGTACGTTGATTTACGATACTTGGTACTTCCATCAGAGCGAAAGAACCTTCATGTTTTCTTTTAACATTTTTCCATTTGGGAAACGATGTTCAGTAGAGTTGTACGAGCGATCTGGACATTCTGATTTCGATAAAAAGAATTTAGTTAGACGACTTAGGCTGGCAGATGGTTTATTTATTCATTTAATCCGACGTTTCGACCATGCGGGTTGTGGTCC